CTACAATGACTTGTCTTTTTATTGCTCTATGGGCAATTTTTAAAAAATATTTCAGGAAAATGTGATATGCATATATCCTAATTCATAGACCACTTATGATGATAATTATTCACATTTTGAAAAGGTTTATTTCCTTTGCAAAGGAATTCCCTTTAGGTTCTTCTAAATAGTCTGTAATAATCAGCTTCAAGCCTGTTCAAATGTTACCGCAACATCTTTGGACAAAGAAGCCTGCTTCAAAACTCAGGAGGTTGGCTGCTTTCCAACCATGTTCGTGAAGGCCTGACCTCAGGACGTAGTACTTCCTATTCTGTATGATAGTCACGGAACAGGTATTCCAATTGTTGGGATCTGGGTATAGAAAAATACTCAACAAGGGATGAAGCTAGTCGTGGCTCTGTACCTGTAATGATATGAATTTATCCAAGACATTTAAACTCTTTACCTCTTTGATTCATCCTCTGTAAAGCAATAGGGTTGTATACTGAGGTGACTGCTAAATATCCTTTCTGTGCTAATAGTCAATAACTTAGGAGAATGAAGTGAAAAATGCATGTAAATAGCCTCTGTAATTATAAAACACAATATAGATGTTGTTTATTATCTTTATAATTTATAATGTGAACTATTTAATTTGCAGAAATCCAATTGGTACATAAAATTTCAGGAAGATATTCATTACAATGTACACTTACATGATGATCAAGACGGGGCAATTCTAAATGTATTGTGGTATCCTGGATTGGATCCATACAGAAAAAAGAACATTAGTGAAAAACTGGTGAAATCCAGATAAAGTATGTAACTAGTTAATAGTATTGTACCAGTATTAATTTCTTAGTTTTGACAAATGGACCATGGTTATATAAGATGTTATCATTAGAGGAAGCTGAGTGAAGTATATACAGAAATTGTTTTACCTTTGCAAATTTTCTGTAAATCTAAAATTACCCAAAATAAAGAGTTTAAAATAAGATTATTGTACTATGCCTTGAGAATGTAACTATGCTTTCATACATACATACACACATATAAACACATGCAGTACAGGGACAAGAGAAATGAAGGAAATCACAGAAATCAAGCCACCATATTTTTCAGCACTACACCAAAGCAACAAAAAAGGAGCTCTCTGGTGTTAGAAAAGTTTTCCTGAAACCTGTGAAAAAGTAAAAATGAGCTTGGACTAAGAAAGTAAAAATCTGCTTTGCCATTCATCAGGTATAGATAATAAACACAGATAAAGCCAGCTGTAAAGTTAACAGAAAACAATATTTCTCCCAAGAACATGCTGTAGTGTCACCAAAAAAACCCACTATGAGTAACTGCTGCTTTTTTTACTCACAGAGAAATCTTTTCTCTAAAATCATAGATTGTCAAAAAACTTGCTCTTTGAAATCTTTCATTAAGATTGAAATATCCCATTCTTGGCTAGATGATCTGAGTTATGTGATACAGAAACAGCCTCTACTTCCAGAACTTCAGAAAAGGGGTTTGTGGACACATTCCTCACCTACTTCGACTCTGTAGCTTCCAAAAAAACAGGGTCCATGTTACAGTCCAGACCTAAGGTAGACCCCTTTACATACATCCTTCCTTTCTTTTGAGTCTATCAAAATACTACTTCATTTTAATTTCTCCTAAATTCTACACTTCCCCAAATTCCTATAATAAACCTACCTTTTCCTTTGATGAGGCATCCCATGGTGGGCTCCATGGAATGTGGCCTCCCTCCTTGCAATGAGCCAGAAACCTGACATTCTTGGAATACAGTTTTGTTTCTGATGGATGTAGTCTTATTGGACTAGGAAGCCTGCCTCATACTAAAAGTTAAAGAACAGTAATTTTACATAAAACTGAGCTGCCAAAAAATATCAAGTTCAAATACTATACAAAATTATTATCAAAAAAGAGAGAATAGGGCTTCCCTGGTGGCGCAGTGGTTGAGAGTCCGCCTGCCGATGCAAGGGACACAGGTTCGTGCCCCGGTCCGGGAAGATCCCACATGCCACGGAGGGGCTGGGCCCGTGAGCCATGGCCGCTGAGCCTGCGCGTCTGGAGCCTGTGCTCCGCAACGGGAGAGGCCACAACAGTGAGAGGCCCGCGTACCGCACAAAAAAAAGAGAGAGAATAAGGAGTATAACATCATCATTACAGATAATGAAAGCATGCCCCAAAGATGTGTCACAAAATAGATCAAAACCGAAAGTGACTATTTTTAAACTAGCTAAACGACATTAAGAAAATGATACAAGGTATGAAAGAACAACATGATTCAGAATTAGAAAAACACAATTAATTCTATGGAGGAAATCCTTTCACACTGTATACGTATATGAGATCATCACATTGCACACTTTAAATATCTTACAATTTTATTTGTCAATTATATCTTGAAAAAGCTGGGAAGAAAATAGAAAAACTCAGAAGTTAAGGTGACAGAACTCAGGAAAATTAGTAATAAAGAATTAATTACACACAACAGATTATGATTTTCCATAAAGAACCTGAGCCAATCCTTAGGTCAATGTTTTTCTCATCATTTTCGTTGTCTGATGTTCATTCTCTAGTAATTCTCCAGGAAGGGCTCATGAAAATGATAGTCTCATCAAATATTGATATCATATCAAGTGCTGATAGTAGTTTATACCCTTTGTACGTGAGAGTTAGTTTTGCTGGATATAAAATCCTTAGTGCGTGCTTTGTCCCTTGAGTACCCAAAATATGTTGTTCCACTTTCTTCTGACAAAAGTTTCACTGTGAAAAGTCTAGTGATATTCCCATTTTCTTCCCCATTTTGCAAATGTAAGAATACATTTAAATCTGGGTATCTGTTATATTGTTTGTTTGAAATAATTCACACTATACTTCACCAAATCATGACCTCAGTTTTAAGAACACCATTATTTTCTGTACTGATAAAAAAGAAAAAAATACATTGCAATTTCAAGGAAGTTAAAATGTGGAAAAATGTGGGTCTTAGATAATATTCAGTATATTCATTTTCTATTGCTGTATAACAACTTACTGTAAACATAGTGGCTTAAAACAACACAAATTTATTAGCTCACAGTTCTAAGGTCATAATTGTGGGCCCATCACAGCTGGGTTCTCTGCCCAGGGCCTCACAAAGTTGAAATCAAGGTACTAGAAGACCTGTTGTGATCTGGAACTTGGGGTTTTCTTCCAAGGTCATGTAGGTGTTGACCAAATTTAGTTCCTTGCAGCTGTAGGCCAAGGTCCCCTTCTCCTTATTGGTTGGAAGCTGGAGGCCACTGTAAGCCCCTAGAGGCTATTCCCATTCCTTTCTATGTGCCCCTTTCCCTTTTCGAAACCAGCAATGGAGATTTTCCCTCCCATCAAATTCCTCCTCATACTCTGAATCTCCTTCTCCAGGAAAAGACCAATCTCTTTTAAAGGTAGAGAGGCAATTTACAAATAAACAAACATACACCAGAAGGTGACAAATCTCAAAAAAGAAAAATTTTAAAGTGTACACTTGATTTTCCCTCAGTCTAGAATGCTCTTCTGCTAGATATTCACAGGACTCACATCACTTAGGTTTTTAGCTCAAATGTCACTTCTTCAAAGAGGCCACCTTTGACTACTATGTCTAAAATTGTCTCTCTCCTCCTCCTCAAGTCTTTTTCTTCACCTTATAAAGTTTTCTTCATCGTATTTACTTTCTAGTGTTATTTTTCATTTATTTTCCATTTTTTTGCCTTTCCACAATGAGACTGATGAAATCAGGGATCACTGTATCTCTATCACCTAATCATCGTCTAGTCATTAGGCCCTAATGTTTAACAGGCATTCAATAAATATTTAAGAACGGAAGAAACAGGGAAAAGAAATTAGGAGAGAAACTGGTGTTATTTGCTGAGCGAACCTTTCAAAGATATTTATATCTATTAATTTTAGAATAAAGAGAGAAGACAGGGGATAAGTGCAGTCCTAGAGCAGAACTCTGAAAGAATGGGACACAGACCAAGTTCATTTTCATGATTATGTATAAAAGGTACACAACTTGATTGAGAGACCTGAATGATGGCATAGGTGAGCAATATGAAGTTTCCAGGTATTTGGAGATGTGCAAGTTGAAAAGAGAATAGAGGCACAAAGGATAATGCCCTTTTGCCTGGACCCTCTCTCCACACCAGAATGGGAAGAAATTCTAAGTAAAAATATCATACATTACAGATGATATAAATACATAGTGTCAAAGTATTTGTCAGTTTTTAAAATCCTACAGACATTTCTCCAAACATACACTTATTTAGAATGAAAGATAAATCGTAATATTATTGAGTCACACTAATTCTTGTTGTTTTCCAAGAAAAGTGAAAGGGGAGTCAATGGAAAGGGAATTAGATGAGAGGTCCTTACACATATGTTCAGGTACTTAATCTGGCAAGTCACACCAACCGTAAATTTGTCCCTCACAAAGTGAAGGGGGCAACCTGGATGCCATATGCCATTCATAGCTCATAAAATCACGATTCTATCAACTTTGTGACAGTGCTTGACACGTAGTAGCACTTTGTTAAACGTGTAACGTCTTAAAATGGAATCCCAGACTGATAATCCGGAGCTACTTATTATTAGCCTTCGGGGTTTTTAAAGTATAAAATGAAGGGGTTTCTTCTTCCTGCTATAAAACTCTTAAGGATTTTGCTACGCAATCCTATCACTTCGCTGGCCACTGGAATCCTCTGTGTTTGGTAGGTGACTCGTACCTTCAGTGTTTTGCTTCGGTTTACATCTGCCAGACCCCAGTCGCAACATTCCATTCCCTGCAATCACCTGCAGCAAAGCCCACTCCACGACCACACCCAAACCGGAAGCCAGGACGCCTCTGGGCTTGACGGGAAGGCGCCGCCGGGCTGCTCGCTCCCCCAGGCCCGCCCCCTCCGGTGACGTCACCGCCCGCCCCTTGACCTCACGGTCCTGCCCCCTTCCTTGCCTCCCAGTATCCAGCAGCTGTTGCGTCTCAGGAGGCGATGGAGGGCTTCCAGCCGGTGGCCGCACGTCAGGGGGAAGAGGCGTCCTGCTCCTCCTGGGGGGCCGGCAGGTGAGAGGACGTGTGTGGGCGCGAAGAAGCAAGGCGTGGTGGGCAGGACCCAGGGCCCGGCTTTCTGCTTCTCCCCCTAAGGCGGGCAGGGAGTGCGCGAGAGGCCGCGGGGCTGACTAGAGCCGGCCCTGGGCGGCTAGGGGAGCGCGCGGTGTGGGTGTGGCGGCGTGGGCTCCGGCCTCTGCGACTGCCGGCTTCGTTGAGGAAGAAGCCCACTTATCGCCCCTTTCAGCGCTTTCTCAGTTCTGGTTGGGGTCTGCCATCCTCCTTCCTCCCAGTCACCGGACGTGGAGGGGAGGGAGGGGCTCCGGCGGGGAGTTCTGGTCCGAGTCGCTCGGTGTGAGCTTGCCAGACCTGGTGCCGGACACCTTCCCTCCTTTCGATAAAGTGAAAGCTAAGCTCTTCTGTGCGCTGTCCTCCGCTGAGATCCTCCTTTGAAAACTATTACCAGAGGGAACTTGGTAATAATGAATCAGTGGTAGTCAGGACACTCTGAGGCCTCTGTTGACTGCACTTTAAAAAGAAAGAAAGAAAGAAAAAGAAATCCAGGAAAACATGAGTTACCCATTCTTATTTCCCAGTTGGTGTTGAGGTTCACGTCTTTTGCATTCCGGCAAAAATAGAGGGGAAATGTGCGTGTAGTTCCTGTTTCAATCTTTTCGTAATTAATAAAGCGTATAGTTACATTCTGCCCACTACCAGAATACAATATGCCAAAGATAAAAGTGGCGCAAATTTGATTTAGAGCTAATGTGAATGTTCACAAACCTGTAGCATTTTCACCAGCTTCAGACTGAAGGGATGCTTTTGGTACCATGGTATTGCCTGCCATTGCCAGCATTGCCAAATTTACTTGGGAGATACTATGTAATACAAACAAAACCTTCCCTTATTTAAAGCATTTTTGATCGCCATGTAGACCTTATCATAAGAATGATTTTTGAAATATTCCAGTAAGGCAGAACTTTCTGAAAAGTAGGTGCCAGTCGTATCATTAAGTGACAGAACTGGTTAGAATGTAATGCTCTTCTAATGTTTACTTAAGAGCTTTACCCACTAGACTTGCCCTCCATGCAAGGAAGATAGCTAGTGAAAGTATACCAGGGATAAGAAAGCTGTAATAAAAATTTTTGTTACAGTGCCAGGGTATATTGTGTATTTGTGTGTTTTTATTAGCTAGAAGCTGATATCACTTGATCATCTAATCAATATTGATAACAGAAATAGTCACATTTTGATATTATATTTTCAAATACTTTGGCTTGTATAGCAATACCAGGCCTAGAAAATAAGTTTCCAAAACTGAATTTTGTGCTATCACGTTGTTTTTAGAATCCTGTAATTGATAATTAGAGCTTCCCAAAACCTGGAATGGATCACACTTTTGCCAAGATGATATTGATCTTAGCTGTCACCATGGCTCAGGCCCAAATGTCCCAGCTGGTTCCCTCTGGCCAGGAACTATTTCTGTTTCCCAGTGTTTATCTATTATCATTTTTCTTTCTGTGCCATGCTGTGAAAAAATTGGAATGAACTGCAGTAAATGATACATCACTTTATGTCTTGTTACACTAGTATGTTTAACCTTTTTTTAATTTTTAAAATTCATTTAACAGATTTTTTTTTTAGTGCTTTCTTCATGCCTACTGTGAGAGGCAGTAGGCAGTATCATGTGGTTGTCAGGAGCTAGACTGATTAGATTCAGAGCTCTGCCATTTACCTGCTCTGTGACCATGGGCATATTACTTAAGTTAATCTCTGTCAGTCTCAGGTTTTTTCCTCTGTTCAATGGAGATAGTAATAGTGTCTGTCTCATAAAGTTGTTGAAAGGGTTAACTGAGTTAGTACATCTAAAGCGCTTAAAGCAGTGTGTGACACATGTTTGCTCTTGTTATTAAATGCCAGGTACTGTTTTAGGGATTTGGAATACGGTAGTGAATTCCTAATGGGTCATATATTCTATAGGGGAAGGCAGATGATAGTTAATGAAAAAAATACATAATTAATGATTTGAAGAAAATACAGCAGGTTAACAAGTTAGGGAGCCACTTCGTTGATTGTGTTACTAAAACCAAACTTGGTCTGCTTTCCCAATGCACACCAAAGCCAATCTCCTGACACCAGGTAATGGTGAAGAAAAGTACAGTTTATTGCAGGGCCAAGCAAAGAGAATGGGCAGCTCATGCTCAGAAGACAGAAACTCCCCATTGGCTTTCAGGGAAGGGTTTTTAAAGACAGTCTGAGGGAGAGGATTGTGGGGTGTGTGATCCATGCTCAGTTCTCTGATTGCTTGATGGTGTGGTAACAGGGTAATGTTTTTGGAACCTCAATCATCAGCCTTCTGGTTCCAACTGATCAGCAGTTCAGCACACAGTTAACTTCGTCCACCTGGTGGGAGTTCTAGCATCTGCAAGACAACGATTTTGTTTTATGGCTAACCTGTTATTACTTTGACTGCTTTGCTTTGTTTCTACATTTTCTCATCTCTCTGATTAAATTTGCTCTTTGGAACTCGGGGAAAGCCTAGGAGGCTAAAACTTTTGTACAAACAAGCGGGGAGGGGAAATCTGTCCCAGGGAAGGCCCCACAGGGTTCTGCTCAGTTTCAATGGGGTGATCCCGAGTGGTCTGTGTGACGTTTGTGAAGCAATAGTTTAATAGAGGCTTAAATGGTAAGAGTCAGTTTTTCAGAGATCTGAAGGAAGAACATTTGAAGCAAAGGGAATAGCAAGTATAAAAACACTGAAGTGATAGCAAGCCTGGCTTTTTGAGAACCATCAAGTAGGCCAGTGTAGCTGAAGATAGTGAGCAAGAGGGAGAGGTGTGGGTGTTGAGGTTGGACAGGTAACTGGGAGACATACATAAAGGCCCTATTATGTGTGCTAAGGTGTTTGAATTTTGTTCTAAGGGTAAAGAAAACTTACTGAAGGGTAATTCTAAGTTAAGGAGTAATGTCTGACTATATTCTAAACGTTTTAGGCTGTTAGATGGAAAATAAATTAAAGGGAAGGGCAATAGAAATAGAATAGTTAGGAGGCCTTTGAAGTAGTTCAGATGAGATATGATGATGGTTTGGCCTGAGATTGTATTGACTGAAATGGTGAGAAGTGATCAGATTTGAGATCCCTTTTGAAGGTAGAACTAACAGTACTCCCAGAGAAAATAAGGGGACAAGTTAAGATCCTTAGATTTTTGGCCTGAGCATGTGAGTAAATGGTGGCGTCATTTGCTTGGTGGTCCCAAGTGAGTTGGGAAAGACTGGGGAAGAATAGATTAAGCAAGGGAAATTGAATTCTATTTGAGGCTTGTTATGTTTTTGTGTGTGTGTGGGGGGGGGGTTTGCGGTATGCGGGCCTCTCACTGTTGTGGCCTCTCCCATTGCAGAGCACAGGCTCCGGACATGCAGGCTCAGCGGCCATGGCTCACGGGCCCAGCCGCTCCACGGCATGTGGGATCTTCCCAGACTGGGGCATGAACCCATGTCCCCTGCATCAGCAGGCGGACTCTCAACCACTGCGCCACCAGGGAAGCCCGAGGCTTGTTATGTTTGTGATACCAGTTAGACATCAGAATAGAGATATTGTTCTGGCAGATGCATAAAATCTGGAGGGCAGAGGAGAGGTCAAACATGTAGAAATAAGCTTAGATATCATTATATGGTAAATTCTGAGTGTGTATATTATAGAAGGTTTATGGGGCACTCAAATAAAATTGCTAAAATATAGATCCACCAGAATATATGTAGCATTGATAAACAACACCTGAGAATAAAACAACCATAAGCTCTAATTTTATAATACAGGGTAGGTAGTCAGTGAATTTAATCTTGATCTACTTTTAAAATCTAAATAAAGTGGTAAATAATAAAATATATATCTGGTTTGTAAAACCTGTTTTAGTAACTAGTGAATCTGATCCCATGTATAATTGAATTTTACATTACAGAATATGAGTATTGAATAGCTATACTGGCCATTATAAGTTATGTTTTCTTTTTTCAGTGTGAATACAAATTTGCCCAATATGCCAACAGAATCTGTGGAGATTGATGATGCATTATACAGGTAAGAACCTTATGGAAACTGAAACATTTTCCCCATTCATTGTTCTCCAGTAACGGAGTAGTTTTATTCAAAGACACCATTAGGCCTATGCAGAATTTTGTAATATATATTCTAAGAGTTCCACTCAAGTTAAAACTTTGGGTTTCTTTTTTTGTTTTTTTTTGTTTTTTTTTTTTACTGTAGGCTGAAAGCTTGAATAATATTTAAATCTTGGTTGCGTTAGGTTTAGGTGATATGACTAAAAATGATTTTGCTATTCACTACAAAATATACCTCTTATTTCTGGACAGGAGTACATATTTATGTTCTTGATAGTGCAGGAGTCTCATGAAAGACAATTCATTTCACTTTAGTTAGTTATACAGTAGCATCTAGAGACCATGTTAACTTCAGTGTAATCTCGTTAACAACATTGTATGTTTGCACTGTATAGACAGTGGAGAAGTATTTTGTGATTGAAGAGCTGTGATTTGAATGGAATTTAGTGGGACTTTTTTTTACCATATTTTTTCATGAAATAATACTTTTTTCAAAATTAAAGAAAAATTAAAAACATAAATTGCTGTCATTTCTAGTAGATACTTTGAGATGTTTGCATGGAAGATAGTATACACTCAGTTTAAAAGTTTTTAGATTTCCTCTATAAGTAATCATGAAAAAATACATTTTATGTAGGTAGAATTTGGAGCAATAGGCTCATCCTGTATTTTGGATTTCTTTCTATATTTTTTTATGTGGGATGCAGAGTCAGTTTTGAGCAGTTTAGGAGATACCACCTGGTATGTTGATTTCAAGTCACATTTTGTGCTATACCTTGGAAGAAGAGATAAAGACTAACTTGATTTTGCTTACGTGAAAACTGTTTCACCATGTGGTCTCCTGACTATGATTGTACTTCTGAAGTCATCTTAAATTTGGACTCTTCATCTGTAATTACGATGTTCTTAATGTCCTTCTGATCATATTCTTGGGATAACAAATGGCAGCTCCTTGAGATAGCATTGGCTCATTTTTTTCATTATTTGTTACAGTCCTTGTGAAACATTTTTATATCCCTCCAATCCTATAAGGGCTGATTAATGAACATAATTTTCAGTAAACCAGAGATTAAATTTTCCATTTGCAAAGCTAGGTAAGTAGGCTTACAGTTCACTTGTAGTCAGTTTGCTGGTCTGAAAGTAATAGAATATAGCAATTTAGGTATCATATATAGCAGTTCATATATGATCAGGTATTGCTGGATCATAAGATAGTTCTATTTTTAATTTTTTAAGGAACTTCCATACTGTTTTCCATTGCAGCTGGACCATTTTACATTCCCACCAACAGTGCACAAGAATTCCAGTTTCTCCACATTCTCACCAACACTTGTTATTTTCTCGGGTTTTATTTTTGTTTTATTATAGCCATCCTTACAGGTGTGAGGTGCTATCTCGTGTTTTTGCATTTCCCTGATGATATGTGATGTTGAGCACCTTTTCATATTCTTGTTCAACATTTGTGTGTTGTTGGAGAAATGTCTAGTCCTTGCCCATTTTTTAATTAGGTTATAGGCAGGTGGGGGGGGTTGGTATTGAGTTGTAGTTTCTTACATATTTTAGACATTAAACCCCTTATCAGATACCTGGTTTGCAAATATTTTCTCCCATTCCATAGTTTGCATTTTCATTTTGCTGATTGTTTGCTTCGCTATGCAGAAGATTTTGAGTCTGCGGTAGTCTCACTTGTCTGTTTTTGCTTTTATTGCTGTGCTTTTGGTGTCATATCCAGGAAATCCTTGCCAAAACCAATGCTGAGAAGTTTCCCTCCTATGTTTTCTTCTAGAAGTTTTATAGTTTCAGGTCTTTTGTCTAAGTTTTTAATCCATTTTGAGTTGATTTTGTGGATGGTGTAAAGTAGAGGTCTAAATTCTAATCTTTTCATCTTTTGTTTTGGAAATCCAATTTTCTCAATGCTATTTGTTAGTCCAAACCTATCTTTTCCTCTGAGTACACTGGCCATACTAGACTACTTCTTACCATAGTTTATGCGTTTACACCTGTTGTCTTTTCTTTTTTCTTTATTTTTGGCTGGGTTGGGTCTTCATTGTTGCACAAGGGCTTTCTCTAGTTGCAGTGAGGGGGGGGCTATTCTTCATTGCAGTGCGTGGGCTTCTTATTGCGGTGGCTTCTCTTGTTGTGGAAAACGGGCTGTAGGCGCACATGCTTCAGTAGCTGTGGCGCATGGGCCCAGTTGCTCTGCAGCATGTGGGACTTCCTGGACCAGGGCTCGAACCCGTGCCCCTACATTGGCAGGCAGATTCCCAACCACTGCACCACCAGGGAAGTCCCCAAGGTCAATACTTTAAATACTATTTATTTATTCCTAAATATTGTCATTGAAATTTGTTTAATATTTCTAGGTATACAAGTTTTTCCCAGATATGAATAACTGAATCTCAGGTTATAATTATTTGTGAACATTTAGGCTTTCCTATGAAACTGAAACTGTAAAATCTACAAATCTTGAATGTTAACTAAGTCTGATATTTGTACATATATTTAGGTAGGAAATATTTTTAGGGCAGTTTCAATACCTACTTTAACAAAGTGGCTTGTTAAATATATTTCACTTTTTTCTTATTACTCAATCTTAAATTACCTCATAGTTACTGATCAACTAAACCTGAAATTATTCTCAGAATCTAAAGGTTTCTTTTTTGGGGTAGGGGAGCACTTCTAACAGCATTCTGGGCCCCATCTCTATTTAATTTTGCATCTTTATTGCCAGCAAATTGTTGGGTGAGTTAGACAGCTAGTTAGACTTGAACCAGTTCTGTAGATCTGCCCGTTTCTTTTCCTCTGAAGATATGCCTGAGCCTGTTAATCCCAAGATTTATCTAAAGAAATGAATGAGTCCCAATTTAGGACTAAAGCCTTGGTTTTCTAACTCTACTTTTACCAAAGGACTCTCTGTTGGAGATAATTAAAACTAATTCAGATAGTGATAAAGTGATACTTTGCTGTCTCTTTTTTTATGTTCCTTGCATATAGGTTCCTGTGTAGAGATCACTATATGAACAAGGCGTGAATATCAGAGCAGCATCAGGGCATTCTTAGCTTTCTGGATTAATACAGTCATAATAGTATCAAAACTGTGTGTGTTCTAGTGTAATACTAGAGGAAACTTCTCAGGCTTTTGAGATAACAGTTTTTCTGGATTTGCTTCTACTCCTCTTGACTTCTTTCTCAGACTTTTCTTAGTCTGCTCTTGCTTTGCCTGCACCATAAACGCCAGGTTCCAACTTGAGGATTTTTCTCTCAGTTCATACTCTAGTTCACATCCATTTCCATGATTTTAGCTTTCTGTCTATATTTGAGCCCCTTTCTTCAGCTTTCTTCTTCCAAGCTCAAGACCTTTGTTTTTAAATGCACACAAGGTGCTGTTTTCTTGTTTGTTTGTTTTGGCTGTGTTGGGTCTTAGTTGAGGCATGCGGGATCTTTTCATGACGGCATGCAGTCTGCTTAGGTTTCTCTCTAGTTGTGATGTGCAGGTTTTCTCTCTCTAGTTGTGGCACACAGGCTCCAGGGCAAATAGGCTCTGTAGATTGCAGCACATGGCCTCTCTCGTCGAGGTGAGCAAGCTCAGTAATTGTGGCACATGGGCTTAGTTGCCCCGTGGCATGTGGGATCTTAGTTCCCCGACCAGGGATTGAACCCGCATCCCCTGCATTGGAAGGCGGATTCTTTACCACTGGACCACCAGGGAAGTCCACAAGGTGCTTTAAAGGTAAACCAGGCAGATGTTCAGCAAATAACTACCTTTTTTTTTTTAATTGACGTATAGTTGATTTACAATGTTGTGTTAGAATATCTACTTCTTAGAGAAACACTATGGTACTGTGAAATGAACATGGTCTCTGGATTTAGAGAATGTTCACATCCAATCCTGACATTTATATGAACCAAAACTAGTTATTTAATCTTTCTACTTTTCATGTGTAAATAAGAATAACATCTCTTAAGAATAATATCTAAGTCTTAAAGTGTTCACACAAAAACTTAATATAAAATTTCAGCATTAAGTAGCACTCAACACCATTGGAATCCTTTTCCTTCCCTCTTCCCATTTTCAAGCTTAATTAAATGGTGCCACACCCACTCAGTAATCTAAGCTAGAAACCTTGGTGTCATCTTAGGTTATTCCCTATTTGTCATCTTCCAAATTAAATTTTTTAAATCCTTTCAGTTCTTTTTAAACAACTCTTAATTCCAGCTCTTTCATTTTCTCTCCCTGCATTTGGAATCTCTCAATTGAACTATTATAATATTCTCTTATGTGTTCTCCTCAAAACTATTCTTGTCTCTAATCCATCTTTCATAAGTTATTCAAAGTTGTATTTTTGGCACTTACCTTGGAGTCCATGGCTTCTTGGCTTAAAATCCTTAAATGATTCCCTATAATCTACACTGATGAGGCCAAACTGTACAATATACATTTAAGCCCTTTTATGGATACAGCATAACAGTGGCTGACAGTTTGAACTCAGGTATTAGATCTGAATTTGAATCATTTTCCATTATTTATTAGTGTATGATCTTAGGTTACTTAACCTTTAAGTCCAATCATTTCTTTCATTTATTCATTAAATATTTAATGAGAAAATGTGCACAAATTGCAAATAAATCATGAAGAATAGTACTGTACCTATGAATTCAGTAGCTTCTTATTTACTATGAGTTATGGCCATATCTTTCTTTTTAGCCTCCATGTCACTTCTCACCACTTTACACTCTGACATCCTATTCTTTAGCCTTGTTCAAAATTTATATATTGTCAGGGTCTAGGATTTGATTTTGCCCTATTTACAAGCTAAAATCTAGCCTATTATTCTTTAGTGGATGCTAATGTAAGGTGTGAAACATCTGGGTCAGAGACAGAAGATTTCATTACTTATAGCAAACAGCATGGGCATCAGCCTGGTATTGGTTCTTCTTGCTCTCAAGTCCCATGGAAGTGAT